CTCTCTCTCTCTCTCTCTCTCTCATCCTCATTCTCTTCGAAGGCGAAGATTTCTAACATGAAGAGCTGCTGTTCGTTGTTCGGCTTATCGGAAGCAACGACGCGCGACCGCGAAGCTTCCGCTTCCGCTCGGCTACTATCAAGACTCCCTAGAGGAACAATTTTAAAGGGAGAAGGTAGTTAGTAAGTTTCCAAGGTGAAAGGATCAATTCTACTCTAAGCTATGTTCTTTCATCGAAATTTTCATCGCCTTGGGCATTATCGATCGATATTTCCTATATCGTATATTTTTTAATTTTTCTAATACTATTTCTCCTAGCACATGCTTTTTTTTTTTTGGCTTTTCATCGTTCGGAAAAATGGTTACGTACGAATTAACGACAAAGATATACGTAACGCGTACGTGCCACGATAAAGTCACATCAATGTCATAAGTTATCGATAAATTTTTTGACTCGTTAAATAAAAGATAATATGACAAATTATTCTCTTCAAATTCCGTTACTTTTTGATTATGAGCGTGGAATAATTTATATTTTATACTATTAGATCATCGGAAAACAATTATTGCATAAATTTTGAAAATCGAACAAAAATTGATCGATCATATTGATGAAAGTTTTTAATAATTCTACGACTAGCAATTTAAAATGACCAAAACGTTTTCCAATTTTCCGGAAGAGAATAAATTGATCTACGATCGGCTACTCTCGATCCTATGTCACGATAGACAAACTCCCGTGACCAGTGTGAAGGATACACGGTGATCCTATTTTATCGGCAGATAAAATCTTAGGGTGCGGCGAGTGCCGATGAAACATATATATGTATAAGGGAAAGAGAGAGAAAGATTCATCGGCGTGGGTGCAAATAATTTTCTTTGAATGCAACTCGTCGTTTCCGCCCTCTCGCTTTTCTTACGCGACGAAACAAGATTACACGGATGAGACTGCACGTTCCTACATTCATAGATAGAGATAGAAAAAGAGAAGGAGCGTGGGAGTTGCGTCAGGGTGTTTGTATGTACATAAAAGGAGAAGGAGAGAGAGAGAGAAAGAAAGTTCGATCAAAGATACGGTAAAACAAAGAAAGAAATACGTTAAATGTAAAAGATAGGTACTCTTTCATTGCTATCTTTTTCGCACCATAATGATAGTCATGTTAGATCCTTTTCAGAGCGAGAGTATCGTCGAAAAGAATAAGATTAAGAAAAAGACGAAGTAGAAGAAAAAGAAATGAGAGAAGAGGAGAAGAAGCGAAACGATCTCCTCCAGACGCGAACGCGATATAGTCGGTGCGATCCGCGAGCGACACCTAACTTGAACCCGTTGCCGGTTCTCCAGCGAATAAAAGCTAAAGAGAGAGGGAGAGAGAGAACGAGTATGAGAGAGAAACAGGCTGGGTTACTTGTCGAGCTGAAGGAGTTGGAGAAAGACAGGTAGATGAAGGAATAGTAGTTGGTGGGGGTAGGTTTAGCGCATGCGCGCGAGTATCATTTATCGAGCCGCGGAGAGGGGCAATTCGCGTCGTCGTCGTCGTCGTGGTCGTCGCCGTCATCGTCATCGTCCTCATCGTCCTCGTCGTCGTCGTCGTCCTCGTCGACGGTGGAGGTGGTGGCGGCGGTGGCGACATCGGCGGCCACGACGACGTGGCACGGTTCACGATCGTGGGTAGAAGAGAAGGGACGCGCTTGTTTTACGCGGGGGACGGGACCCTGCTGTATCGCTGCCTTTGGTAGAGAGAGAGAAAGAGAGAGACAGCGTGAGTGAGGGGTGGAGAGAGATGTAGGTTGGGTGGCAGGCGACTGTCCGAAGGAATACGGAGAGGGAATGTATACGGATTTTACTGGAACAGAGAGAGAAAGGGAGAGTATGAGAGAGAGAGAGAGAGTGAGAGAGAGGCATGGATCAAAATGGGAGGATAGGGGAAAGTATAGCGTGATAGAGAGAGGGAATTCGAGGAGTTGAGTTGGTAAACGCGGAGAAGAGAGAGAGAGAAGTGGGATAGTGGAAGGAGGGGTTAGCGAGAGGGGTCGAGTGGGGAGAGCCGAAATGACGAACGGAGGGGCAGGTACTGGAGAGGGAGAGAGAAGGATAATGAAAGAGAAGGATGGAAATACGGTGGGGGGCGCTACGGTCGGCAGTCGCCGTCGCGCCAGGCCCCCGCTAGTGGCTAGCTAAGTAAGCAGCGAGCAGTCGCATACCCGTCGCCTAACCAGCATCGCTCGCCTTACCTTTTCACCCTTTTCTCAAAATTGCATCGAGGCTTGCGTCAGCTGCATATATTTGCCTCGTTCCGCACAGCCGGTTCTCCTACGACCGTATAGTCCGTCGCTGTCTATCGTCATCGTCGTTGCCGTCGCCGTTGCCGTCGCCGTCGTCGTCGTCGTCGTCGCCGCCGTTGCTGCCGCCGCCGCCGCCGCCATTGCCGCCACCACCACCACCACCTCCACCGCTGCTGCCGCCGCCGCCGCCGCCGCCGCCAACACCACCACCACCACCACCGCCGCCGCCGCCGCCGCCGCCGCTGCTGCCGCCGCCGCCGTCGCCGCTACTATCGCCCGTCGTTGTCGTCGCAATCGCAGTCGCAGTCGCAGAGTCGTCGTCGTTGTGTAGTCGTTTCGTTGTCTCGTTGTACCACGTTCGCGCGTGATTTTCACCAGGCGGATGGACATCGATCATTCAGTTGAGGAGCGGCTATATTAAATTAGGGAGAACCTTTATTCCCTATTGAAAGGATATAAGATATTAAGCGAAGAGTAGGAGGATCCATAGGAAAAATCTCTGATAAAAGAGCATCGTGCGATCAAGAGTGGATATTTTAAAGGAAGCAACAACGGGCCGGAATCGAATAAAACGGAAGAACTGATTATGAGTCGGAACAGTGCAGTAGGTCAGCACGCATCCGAGCCGGCGTTATACAAGTGAGAGCAGTTTTCGTGCTTTGTGTCGCGACTTGGCCGATCGACCGGAGTTTAAAGTGAGGAGCGAGGGAGGTTATCTTTCTCTTACCTCTTGTGCATTTATTAACATCTTTCTTTATATCTATCTACTACCTATCTATCTCTGTTTATCTGTTTATCCACATTTTTTTTCGTTCTATCTATTCCCTTACCCTTTTCTTTACCCTTCTATTTCTCTCTCTCTCTATCTTTCTAACTACTGTCTCTCAGTTCCGGGAAACGAGTACGCCGCGAGAAAGCGAACATCAAGAAAAGAGAGAAATAGAGAGAGAGAGAGCATCAGAGTTAGCGTAATAATCCATACATTCCGCGTTTGTTCAACGTCATTTATTCTGGAATTTAGTGCAGACAAATATTACAGATATTCATAACCTTAAAGTGTTTTATTTGGTGCTTTCTTACTTGCGACGGTGAGAACAAGAAGTCAGTGGCTCCAACGAATAAGAAGACAAGAAATTGTTCAGATCCGTCGGAGTGATATCCAATCATATTTAAAGATATCGACGCTACTATTATCAACTACGATTAAATCTGGACTCCGATTATAAGGTAAAGAACTTTATTATTTCGTATTATTCACACACACACACAATTTATTATTCTCTTTGGGTCTCTTTCCTTTTATATCATCATGTCCCCTTCCGTAGTCTCTAACGTATCACGTGTATCACGCACACTCCTCCGCGTTTCATTTTTTTTTCTTCTTCTTCTTCTTCTTCCTCCTTTCTTCCTTCCTTTCTTCCTTCCGCGTGTTAAATCATTTCTCGGTATGTTGAATATTTTTTATTTCTACTTTTTTTTTTCGTCGGAAAAAGCGTCACCTTCCCGAAATCATGCGGACAATTTTTGATCGTTTTCTTTTACATTAAATGTCTCTTTTTTTTTTCTAACTCTTTCTTTTTTTACGCAATATACGACGTGCCACATTAGTTGGACCGGCTGTAGAAACATGATGTGTGTGTGTGTGTGTGTGTATTGCAACGCGACGGCAACCGTGGATTCGAATGGAAGCTTAGACTCATGTATTTATTTTTAACTCTGTTCTTTTTTACTTATAGAATTCTATCGGTAAATTTCTCGGAAGAGAAGCGTATTTTAATGAAACAATTGAAATCCTTATAAACCCGTGAATGAATGAATGAATAGAATAGCCAAAGCGTAGAATTACATTCGTCGTCGTCGTCGTTTATGCAAATCCGCCAATATGCGTAATCAATTTTGTTGCTCGTCTTCTTTATATTTCGACCAATCGCGTAGCAGTTTGATTGATTCGCGTAATTTCCCAATTTTTTTCACTAATCATTTTCCTATATATTTAAAATACATATTTCTCTATACGTTACTTAAATATATATGTATATATTTAAGTTTTGTTACAATATATTCTCATACGTAATATCGTGCGCAAACATTTTTGGCGAAAGATTAAACCTATGACGAATCTTTTTCTCATTGTAAGTTTTATCGCTTAACCACGAGGAGAAGTTAGTTTGATATCGGTGCTAAGTATGAGCGATAAGGTACTGTTTTTCTTTTTTTTTTTAAAGGTACACGCTTTCAACGAATTTCTTTTCGTATTCTATTTTTATCTTTTGTGGAATTGCTCGAATTGTGCGACTAAGAGACTGAAAGACATCTAACGGCGTTAACGATAATAATTTTTCGAGTTAAGGTTAGAAATTATGGTTGATTATATTGCTCACTTCTTTTTTTGTCTTTCTTTCTTTCTTTCACTTACACATATGCATACATACATAAATACGTGCGTACGAGCGACGTTTGGTGGGCGCGCACGTGCCGCGTCGACGCTCCTCGGCTAGGAGCAGAATTAGCAGAGCGAACGACCCGAGCTTCAACCCTTTTTCAATTTTTTCTCCCTTTTTTTTCTTCTTTTTTCTTCTTATTACTTCCTTCTCTACGTAGTACTTTAGTACCATCCAGGATTCCCGTTTCACGCAGCATGAAAATATCGTATTCGTTGTGCGAAGAGTCGAGTACCACGGATTCCATCTCTTTTCCACTGACCCGTATTAACGAGTTACGCGTCCAGCAATTCGACTTTATTTCAGCTCGTTAGTCGACTCGTCGTTTCTCGTCCGGGTACCATCCAGGGAGACACATATGTCCTATGTATATGTGTATATATATATATATATAAAAGAAAAAGAGAGAGAGAAAAAGATAGAAGGCATCTAGTTTGCGAGGAAACTCGTGCCCTTCGTATGTTCCAATAAGATTTCTCTTTTCTCGCCTTACGTCTTATAGTAGGACATACACATATATATTTATACACATCCATGCATACTCATACCGAGTTCTAGTGTTGGTAACGAGAATCACCAGAGTAGAAGACATATAAGTTAGTTTTCTCTTTATATATATATATATATATATATACGTATGCATATTTATTTTTTTTTTTTTTTATTTTTCCCCTTACAACCGGGAAAGTTCTATAATTTTTGATTTCGTGCCAAGATAAAATCACGTGCGATTTTGATCTCTTCTCTTCCCCCCTCTTTTTGCCTCCCCCCACCCAGAAAATTATATTTTCTACAGATAGAATTATATTACTTTGTAATATTTCGAAGTATTGTTACAAGTTTGTTTTTATCTCTGATTTTTGAAGATATTGATAAGCTCGAAAGAATGGTTGAGTTAGATGTAATGTGTGAATGTGTTTGTGTATGAGTAAAAGAGAGAAGTTTAGTTTTGCAAGGAAAGAAGAGAGTGCAAGTATGTACTAGCTCGTTCGTGTTAGTTGAGAGAACTTGGAGAAGCACAGTGCGGCTTTTTAAAGAAATTCCACTTGCGTTTATATGTGCACTAATTCCCCCGAGGTATGAACTTTATCTTCATTTCTTAATGTAGCATTCTTGAGTCATCGTGAGTCCGGTTTGTACATGTGTAGAGAATAAATATACCAGTCGAATAGGAACACCAAAGTTATATAAAGTGTAATTACATTTTTATAGTTTAGAATATCGATAAATTTCTAATAAATCGTATATATAAAATGAGATTGTAATATTCTTTTTAATTAAAGAAATATGATTATGAGTTATCGTATTAAAAAAAAAAAAAAAATCGGACAATAAAATTAATCGTTCGTTCTAATAAAATTCGTTGAGAAAAAAAAAAAAAAAAAAGGGAATGAATAAAATTGGTTTTATCTTTCGCGGTGAGAAACCAAAAAAAATAAAAAAAAATAAAATAAAGATAGCGTCGTAGTTCATTTTCACATCGACATAGGACATATTTCTCTCTCATACGGTTATTTTATATATTATTATACATTTATTTTAATGAAAATTAATCTCTAATGTAACTTTTTTTTTTTTTTTTTTTTTTTTTTTTTTTTTTTTTTTTTTATAATAATTATTCCTAAAAAATACAATGTATCAATTCGAAGATTAGTAAAAAATTAAAAAAGATAATGAAAAACAAATCAATCGTACGATATCATCGTACGTATCACTTAATAAACTCTACGGAATACTTTCGTAATATGTTCTTTAATAAGTTGTAACGCGACAAGTAAAACGAGACCCGTTTACATCGCATCAGAAAATTATATATATATATATATATGTATACGTAGGTATACGTTCTTATGGTCGTCGTAAATATCCAATGTTGCTCTCTCTTTCTCTTCCCCTTCTCGTCTTTTTTAGCTCGATGGAACGTCGTTCGACCACTTTTTCGATCTCTTTCGTGCGCATAACGCAGCCGCGCACCGCTATCAGCAGAAACGAGACTTTGCCAAATCCCAAAGTTCTCTCTTTCTCTCTCTCTCTATTTATCTTGACTTTCACGAGCTTTATCAGACCAAACCTGACATATAATACATTTTTTTCGATGAATATTCTAAGACTTCTTCACCGTTGATCTTGTTAAAAAATATTTTATTATATAAATACCATGTATTTTACTTTTTTATGTTTTTCATTTGTTAATATAATGATCCATTATTTATGATTATTATCATTTTTATTACTAACGATTCGCGATAATCGTGGCGCATTATTTTTGCTTTGAAATTCTTTTTTTTTATTGTAATTATTAGGTCCAGTCATAAAATATTTTCGTTTGATGAATAAAATCGTTATCTTATATGACTTGGATTTAATATTTGGTAATGGAAAATATCTTGGATTTATTTTAAATAAGAAATATATAAATACACACACGTGTGTGTATTACTTATTCTAATTTTTGGATTACTGAAAAGTCATATCTTCTAATTAGGTGCGGTTTTTATTTATTTTTCTGTCTATTTTATTTTTTACGATAGTGTAGTGTCTCTTATTGTTAGTCATGTGTGATGCGAGGCACAAACGCATCAAATTACGCTACCTTCCTAGGCGTGTCCTACTGACGTGTGTGACATTTAGTGTCAATTCACAATAGCACACCACTTTTATTATAATTTTTCCCTCTACTTTTATTCTTTATTCTCTCAAACCAGCCGCCATCGGTATTTTATTCTCCTTACAAATAATGACGTAACACGCTCGTTAATTATCCTAAAAAACAAAATAAAAATCCTGGTTCAAAGGAACCGATTTCTTGCGAGAAAAATATGTCGAAAATAATAAATTTGAACATATTTAAAATTACTAAATTGCGTCAGAGTTTACTAAAAAAAAAAAAGAAAATCAATCAAATACTTTTTCTGCGATACATTTAATCTAGAAATCTTTTTTTTAAATAATGTACGAATATTTATGACACATCTTGTACAATTAAAAAATTGGTGTTGAATTTATATATAAAAGAAAAAAAAAAAAAGGACAAATTATAAACACGAAAATTGTGGAACTTTTATAAGCCTAAGTTGTTATTTTCTCTCTTTCCCTCTCTCTCTCTCTCTCTCTTTATTTCTTTTTCTCGTTCGAGTTGGTAAACGGCCTTGTGGCATTGCCGCAACGTTTCTTGCCTGGCACGCCATCATCAAGATTTGTCCGATGACGTCATTGTCGATCGGCAAGCCGATATAGACGCGTCCGCGTAGACTCGTAGAAATAGGGGACCCGCTGCTTTATGGTCTATGACGGTAGTATATTAGGAACACTATTGTGCATAGATATATACACAGCAGATAGAGAACAAGAGAGAGAGAGAGAGAGATAGAGAGAGAGAGATAGAAATACATAGATCATTCGCGATCGTATCGTAATTTTTCGAGCTGGGCTTACAATGGGGCTTTTATCCCGATCGATGTTTCCATCTTTGCTTGCATCTTTTTTTTTTTATCCTCCATACTTGAGAAAGAATTCAAGAGACTTTATTGCAATATCTTAACATAAATAAATAATATTCTTAACATTTTAATGATAAATTATCTTTTTATCTATATATGATAAAAATGTGCACCAGGATTCATAATAAATATAGAAATAATTAGATTCGTATATATAATTTAACGTTTGATATATAACAACGTAGAGTTAAACATTTATTCGTTCTTTAGCGTTAAATTATCGACTAACGTGAAAAAGGGGGAAGTAGGAAGAAGAGATACATATCTCCTCGTTGAAAAATGATTT